ACTGGTCCAACTGCAAGACTTTAAAATCAACAACTTTTATAAAAATGAAAAATAGATATGGAACTCCTATTTAAATAGTTTCTACTATGTGCCAGGCCCAGTTATATAGCTATAACTATATCTACCTTATATCTATATCTATATATCTATAGTCAAAATCTAAGCCTCATATTTTACCTTCATTTTACAGATGAAGAAATTGAGATTCTAAGAGGAAAACTAACGTATATATCTGAATCAGTTGACTTAGTTTACTGAGATCTATAACGGAAAAATTAATGAAGAGAAAAAAAGCATAATGAAAACTGGTTCTTACCCTTTAGCTCCTCCAATCTTTTTGAGAAAATAAGGCACTCACAAAACAAGTGTTAAAAAGGCACATTACACACACACACACACACACACACACACACACACACACAAAGAACAAGGAACGGGAGGCTCTCTTATCTGATCCATATCCCAGGCACAGGACAGTCCCTGGCAGAGTGGTTGCTCAAAACCTTCTTAATCTGCTGGGTGCCTACCAAGTGTTCAGCACTATACTAGGTGTTAGAAGCGCAGAGACCTGGAAAACCCAGTCTCTAACCTCTAGAAGCTCACGTGGGTTGGAGCTGCTACAGAAAACTTCACGCCCAGCTAAGCCTGGGAGAAGGGAGACGCTGCGGGCAGAATAAGGGAGGTGAGAAGGGGAACAGAAAGGGTGCTGGGGGCAGTGCCTGGGTGAGGGGACGCTGCGGAGACTATCCCCCAACGCGGAGAATTTGCGTGGGGAGGAGTGAGAGAAAAGGCTAATGTATTAAAGAAAATCTACTTAACAACCTGGAAAATTAATATGTGGAACAACCAAGTAAGATTATCTTGATTCTGGGAGCGGACCTCAAAGAAGGCACTAAATTTGAGCACAGCGACTGAGGACGCTCAGGAGCCGCCCGCTGCAGGCCATCCTCGGAGCTCGCCGTACCCCCAGCCGTCTCATCATGGTCAGGGCCCGAGGGGGGGCATCAAACGCACATCATGGCAGGCACCGGGGGAACAAAGGGAGCTTCATCAGGCATCTTCTCCGATTTTCTTAATAGGAATGACTGAATACGACAGGTATTTTGACTAATGATGGTTCTACCAATTGTGTGAATTAAAACATTAAACATTGCTTTGCAGAGGCAAAGGGAGTTACGAAAGAATACTTAGGTGTGTTGGAAATGACAAAAATATCCTACTCTGCCTGGAGAAGCCAGGTAACAGAATATAGGGGAAGCGAGGGGACTTGCATTTCAGAGTAATTTTCTTTATGATAGAACTGCTTTATTAAGTATAACTTTATTCCCTTGTTGGAGATAAAAGCCTTTAGTATGTTAGAATGAAATGTGTTCAAGGTGGACGATTTTGTGCTATATATATAGTGTAAATAAGAATAAACAGTTTGAGGAAACCAGTTAAGATTCTTCCCCTTCAGTAGTTCTATTTTCACAACATAAGAAGTAAATGCATCACAAGATGAACCTGAGAATCCTAGACAACCACAGAAAGTAGTCTACATATAAGCCCAGCCAGGCAATTCCAAAGTCTTCAACTATCATGCTTTTGCTAGCCTAATGTAGTTGAAACATGTATAGGATTGGAGTCAAGTAGTGCTGGATTCTAAAGCCAACTTTTCTATTGATTATTTGTGTGATCTTGGACACTCTGCTCAACCTTTCTAATCTTAAGGTGTCTACATTATAAAATCAGAATTAGAACACTTAACCACACATAGGGTGGTCGTGAAGATGAAATAAAATTAACAGGATGATGTATATAAATTGTTTTGCGCAATATTTTGTAGCCCAAAGTAAGTGCATGATATTAATATTTTTGGTGTTACTATTATTAGTTTACTGAACTAGGGATACTCTGAATTTAATCAAAAGACCTCTGTTTGCACCCCAGATCAGCTACTAGTAAGGATCTTTACTCCCTCACCTATAAATGGCAACACCGTGATAACACTTTCCGCTTTGCCTAAATCACAAGATTATGGGAGCTCCAAAGGTAATGTATCTGCAAACTATAAACTGTTAAACTAATTAAAAGCTTTTTTCCCCCCTTCTAGAGTACACACAGAAGTTAAAGACACTCAAATATAAGGTCACGTGCCTCTATTTAATGCACCACAAATATACCACTAGGGAAAAGGAATATCTATAATACTTTTTCAGTAATGGTGACCTACTGTGAATCTGACTCTTTAAAGTTGCATTAATATGTAATACTACTGCTATGAAGGTTAGTTTTGTAAACATCTAGTAGGATAAATCTTTTCAAGTTTAAAACTTGGCCCTCCACTATGAAAATGTGAACATAGACTATTTCTACTACAAAATTATGAAGGCTAAATCTTTACTAATAACATTCTCTTCAAAGAACATGAGAACAAATGTAAAAATAAACACAAAACTGGGATGCAGTTGAGAAAAAGACAAAATTCCTTAAATTGTTCGACAGCATCTAATTGATTTTGGAAGAATGTCAAGAGTTAATTTTATATTTTGCACGTGAATTGCAAGAAGTCTGGAGGTGCTAAGGTGACAAGTGTTGCTTGTATGAGAAATTACAGAGGCCTGTCCAGAGCTCAGTGACAGATGGATGGATTGGAGGCCAGTGGAAATTATAACTCTAATTTACACTAATTTAGCCTTCATGTTTATGATTGGACATGAACCAAGTAAAAACGGTTTCTTCATATCATGTAGAACAGATGGAATTGAAATATTCTCATCTACCTGTATCTGATATCTTGTGATACTAAGAGTAAAGATTTGGGTTAGAGGAAAGGCAACCTCAGGGAATTACTACAAGGAAACTGGGAGGAGGGTTAACATACATTCCATCTACTCATAATTAGACTATATATTATTCCTTGGAGATATCCTTGTTGTCTTTTTACCTCCTGATGGAATTCCAGACCATGAATGGGGTGTCATGAGTCGGGGATAGGGTCAAAGTGGGCACGACTGCCAACAGTATTTATCTAAACACTGTTATAATGATTGGTTAAAAATAAAAGTGGGCAGAGACTGGAGTGCAACGATGGCTTTGGTCTTGAGATTTGAAAGCAAAAAAAGGTTTAAGAATTCAAGGTGTATGCCATGACTCCCCGCCTGTCCAGCCACTTGCACAGTTCTGTGCATACATGAAATAGGATTTCATAGAACAGAACTGTGTGTGACATTTTTGCTCAACTATCAACTAACCTCCTTTCCTTTTTTTTCTAGCTGTAGAAATTACACTTAACTGATATATTTCAGCACAAAGCCCCTTTAAAATGATAAAGCCCATAATAATATATTGAAAAGAGCAAATCCCTAAGAGGAGTGCAAGACAGGGGAATCCATGTATCTGTGCTGAAAATAAAGGGTAAGCTGACCTCTGAGAGAATACACCAGTGTAGTAATTTTTTAGAGCAGTTCAAAGATCTGCTTAGTCTCTACGACTTTTGACACTGAGGATAAATGCCTAAAATACTCACCAGAGACTGAGTTTTTACTGGGAAAAAAGATAACAGAATAGAATAGCAAGGATAAGAGCAAGTGGATAATGGAAATAAATAATGTTCCTTGGAAAACAGTTTTAAAAAAAGAAAAAATGCTCCCTGAACTAGGAAATGGAAAGGATGTTCAAGCTCTCAACTACTGAGAGTTGTAAACAGTGTGGGTGTGAAGCACAGTAAAGAACAACTAGACCCTGTGAAGTTTCACCAAGAGGAGTGGGTGTGTAACAAATAATAAAAATGCAAGATACAGCTACAGAAATAGAGGCAAGCATATCTATGGGACACAGATCATGAGACAGAGGGGGGCTAATCTGCACAGTTGTGTGCACAACGACCAAAATCAAAATAAGCTATTTGACAAAAGTGAAATGCCACCCAAATTCTATATGACAACATTTGCATGAATAAAAGAACAAAATCCACAGTCCAGGATGTAAAGTCTATGTGAAAAGCGTGTCCTCCCAATGAACAGTCTCCCCTTGGAGAAAAGGAGCACCCTTGGGGTCGAAGGTGGAAATGGGCAGAAAGTTGTTCCAGTACAAACTGCTCCCACAGAGGCATGCACATCTTCCCTGCATGCCTGCCAAATGGAAAGAGCAAGCCCTGGAGGCGAGGAGGCGCGGCGGCCCGGCAGCAGCTGCGGCAGAGCTGGAGGGAGAGGGCCCGTGTGGCCCAGGGCGTGAGCACGAGCCGGCTGCCTGCGGACCAGTCTGCAAGCACCCACTGCTCGCTTCTCGCTTCTCCTTTCTTGGCTCCATCTCTACCTGGTCTCCAATTATTTACCTAGTGTTAGATTTTTCTGTGTTTATTTTTCAAGCACGGAGAATCAAGCTCCTTTATAGAGGATGTTATTTAAAATAACTACTCATTTAGGTTAAAAAATACCAAATAAGGTTGCGTTTGCAGCTCGTTAGAAAATGATTATATGTAAATAAAAGTCAGAACCTGATACTTAAAATGTAAATTTACATTTCAGAAAAAAGGGTGATGTGTTATCAAAAAATCAAAAAGGAAACTATTCGGAGACAGGAGAAATGGTATCTGAAGTACACTTGGATTAAGATGACAGAGACAGGTTAACAGGGAGGAGAGGAAATCCTGATCTGACCAGCTAGACAGATACCTGGCCATGCGCCAAAAGAATCACCTCTACAAACTGATTCCAAAGAATAAAGAAGTTGTCAAAGTAAAAGGAAACCTTACAGAATTTTGTAAATGAGATATGCTTCCTATTGCTTACATATAATATATACGTTTACAAAGAGATCAATTCAAATTTTTGATGAATAAAAATATTTTTTAAATGAAGATCAAGGCTTAAATGAATTCTATGAGCCAGTGATTATACTAATTCCCAGAAATAGAGTTATTTCAAAGAAATATAACGAATTATTACTATTAACAAATTTGTTCCTTTACTGTTCCACATGGTTTACTTCCTGCTTTACATTTTCAAAAAGTCCCTTACCTGGGCTGACTCTTTGCCTTTTCGTGTTTTCCATTGAAGTTCAAACTGCAGAGATTTTTCCTTCTCAAATGTGAAGAGTGTGATTCCAAATTCGCTGGCGGTTGTTCTCTCAGAGGGTCATGGAGAGTGGTCTCCTTTTTCAAGTTCATGTCCGAATACGGGCAGCCAAAAGCACTGGTTGGTAATAAGATGAGAGCGCAGTCGTCAGTTTACAGTGATAAATCAGCGACCAGTGTCACTGGAACAGACCTACATCCAACGTTTAAAAACCGAGTCAACATTCTTCTTTCACTGAACACACTCTAGTAAGTTTCTTTTCATATTGTCCTTTGAGAAAACTTCCAAGTTCTAGACACTGGTCAGCAGAGTATTACAGGTAGAGTCATCAGGATATATGGCTTTTACAATTTTGGAAACTTAATCTAAGAATAATATAAAGATGTGCTTCCAATGGAGCAATGAAAATATTACATACACATGACTCAAAATTTCTTCCAATAGCTAAGCCTGATTTAAGTATTTATATCACAAAATATTACAGGTAACTATCTACCAGTATAAGAGAATATAATGTTTTTGTTTCTTAGCATTCACATATCCAGAAATACTGTATCTGGATTTGGCTTATGCCTCCTGAAACTTGCTAGGAAGTTTTGGGTTTGAATGAGAAAGAGGAGAGACTAGAGTCAAGGCTGAATCCTAAAGCCTGGATGTGGTTGGAGTCTAACAGTTGGTGTCGGCAGAAGGATTGGCCAGGACAAATTATCTGGTTTTTCCTACAGGCTGATTGGTTGTTCCTATTAGATTTCTGGGCGCACATCCCTGTCTCCAAAGAGGCCCCAAACCTCTGCTGCTGTTAGGAATGGGGCAGCGGCTGTCAGTGAAAGCACAGGTATGACAGGAGGTCACCTGTACACAACCCTGGGTAAAATATTCCCTGCAGGAGCTTCAGGCTTCAGTTTCTCTCCAGTGAAATGAAATTGAATCCAACTCATTATGGTTGGTTGTCATCATAAATCTCTCAATCTCAATGTCAATCTCTCTGTCTCTCTCTCTCTCCCCCCAACACATACATCCACACACACACCATTACATGGTAGCTGCTATCATTATCAAAGTGTTATCATCTACATCTATGGAAGCACGTAGTCAAATGTACTACTATTTAGGCAGTTGGTTCCTTTTTAGGAATTCATTTCCTATTTACTGTAAATTTGCTGATACACGGTGCATAATAAATTCTTTCTGAGTATGTGAAAGTTTTCTTTTGTTATTTTACGGTCATGATAAAAATCAGGAACAAATGCAGTTTTTCCTCTGTTTTAAAGTAGATTGAGGGACTGTAGTATCAACTTATGTCTGGAATTTGAGATGTAGTGGTTAGGATGGCACCAGCTGAGCCAACATGTCTGGGAAAATCTGCACTGACATCATAGTGGTCAGCAGCCTTTACTACAGACAGAAGTGTCCCTTTGCATGCATTTTTCTATAATTTTAATAATTGGTATTGGTTTATTCGTTTATTCATTTATTGATTCAAAAACCCATTAAATGAGCATCTGCTATAGGCTAGGCACTTTAGAGAATATAAATCTAGTAAAGTTAAGACATATATACCAATAAATACAACTTATAATAACAATAAAGCTACCCTTATTGAGCATATACTATAGGTCCATTACAATTCAAGGTGTTTTACATACATTATTTCTAAAATGTATTACTAAATACCCAAAGATGGTATTAATGCTATTTATTTTATAAGTGAAAAAACAGGCTCACAAAGGATAAGCAACTTTATCCTAAAGATGCCTGAAACTTTCTTGTAGAAAGAGAAGCCGAGGCAGGTATTTACAGGGAAAAGCAAGTACTCAGTTTGCCATGGTTCATGGCTAGGAGACATACGCCAGCGTAAGCTAGGCCTCTGTGAAGAGTGGAGATGTGATAAAGTACTATTTCCAGTAACAACAGAGCAGGGGGTTATCTGTTTAAGCTGCAGCATGCAAGACTTAAGGGGGATTTTAGAAAGAACTTTCTGCCGATAAAAGCTGAAATACTAACCTAAGGGAGACTGGGAAAGGGTCATTTCAAGCACAGCTGAGCTTTCATTGAGACAGTATTACTCAGCAGCTTTGCTGTCCATGTAACATATACTCTCAATCTGAGGTTTTTAAAATGATCATTACTGTGAAATCTCTTAACTTCATACCATCCCCTGCACCTGACTCGTGCTGCAGGACACTAACGCCATCTCTCCCTAAGGCTTATCCGTCCACACTGCAGACTGCCACAGTAGTTGCTGAAGTTGAGAGAAATTTTGTTCCACTTCATCTTTATTCATAAATCAGTCCCTTTAGTCATTTAATCATTCACTATTTCCTAATCTCATTGTAGCCCCTCTTCGTCGCCTGGGTACTAAGGCATGAAAACGAGGTGGAACTCCCCGAGCGTCGCTAGAATGAAGTATTTCCTGACTCCGAGAGGCAAGGTGTGTGAGAACGTATCTCCAGATGATACGAATCAGAATAAAGCTTAAAGTTCAAAAGGATATACTAGGTGACAAAAAGGTACTTTTCAAAAGAAATGCTGGAGAAGAACTTAGAAGCTAATGATGGGAGACCAGAGAATGTAAAAAGAAGTGGGGATGAGGGGCCTTCGGATGTAACGGCCCAGCTCACCCCGGGCCCGCCGTGAACGAGCCTCTGCGCGGCGCTGCGCCCGCCGGCATGCTTTGCAGAGGGCGTGCAGGCGCTGGCCTGGCCGCGCCAGTGCAGACCCTTACCGTGAGTACGCTCATGTGCCCAGGCACGAAGGGCATGCAAGATTCTCCGTAAGTCTATCCACAGAAAAAACCCCAAGAGCAGTGATATTCCTAGATGTGGTAAGCCATTTAAAATTTACTTTTGATTTAGTCGAATACTGGGGGAAATGGTTCTGAAGGCATAGTCTCTTTAGAAAATAGTTGACATAAGCTGAAATTTCTATGACTTAAAGCTCTGTTGGTCAAGGTAAAATGTCAATTCCTGACTGAGCAGGAAATAGTATATTCAAATTTCACTCATTACAGATGGAGATATGCAAGTGTAAACACTTCAGGCTGAAGTCCTGAGCAGCAACGTCCTGCAGAGACATGGTTCCTTTGACTGAGCAGACCATTTCCCATCTCTCCTTAATTCAGTTTGCTGGTAGTTTTTAGGGAGAGAAGAGACAGCAGGAACTATTAAATTGACACATATGAAATTGCAGTTTTAAAAAGTCAGAGACAGTTAAATATTGGGAATTTCATATGGTTCAACTGACTAATTTATAAAAAAAAAAAATGCCAGCCCCAAGCTCATCAATAGCAAAGCAGAAGGTAAAATGCTCAATAAGCAAAAAATGGCCAGATAGTTGCGAACTTTTAAGAAAGATTTTTTTGACAGATCTAAAACTGAGATCCTAGTGGTCCTCTTACTTCGTAAATAGAAGAAAACACAAAAATGACTGCAATTAAAAATATTATTTGTTCTCACTGCCATTTAAATTTATAAATATAACTCACCCTTTTCAGTCAATATGTTGGTAGCGTAAACTTACATAGTATAAGAATGTTAAATAAACACCTTTTTTTCTTAGGAGATATTAATTTCTTGGCCAAATAGTACTAAATGGCATGAGAAATACTGAAATGCAGATTATTGCAATTATAGAATACCTATAATACTTTTCACATAAACTTTTAAAAGCTAGCATGTGACTTAAATTGTTGCTGATTTTACTTCTAAAAAGATTAAGAACAAGTACAAATGATACATGTTGGAATATAGACCACAACACAATTTTTGGATGTGTTGCAACACAATTTTTATTATATTGTTTTCAAACATAGAGATGGGCAAAACTCAATTGGTACATATGAGATTATAAGGTCTCAGGGTTAGGTTTCTTCAAATCCCTGTGGCTTTAAAATGAGATTACCCAAGATATGGGTAAATTTTCAGTCTACTGGGAACCAACATGGGGTAGGGTGGAGAGGTGCTGCTTCCCTTATGGGACAAGTATGACATGGAAAACTGCCAACAGAATGGGACTCTTGTCGACATCAGGGCCCAAGGCCAAACTGCAAGGCAGGCAGCTTTTATCTTGTCCCCTCCCATTTTCTTGCTGAAGCCCATTCTCTGATGCGTGTCAGCACCCTCTTTTATGATCTTTCATTTTTTAAATCCTCACCAAGGATATGTTTATTGATTTGAGAGAGAGGAAGGGAGAGAGAAACACTGATCAGTTGCTTCCTGTATGCTCCCTGACCGCAAATTGAACCCGCAACCTAGGTATGTGTTCCTCACCAGGAATGGAACCCGCAGCCTTTTGGGGTGTGGGGTGAAACTCCAACCAAGTGAGCCCCCATCCAGGGCAGTCTTTAATTTATTTTGAGTTGATTTTTGTGTATGGTGTAAGATAAGAGTCCAGTTTCATTTTGCATATGGATATCTACTTTTCCCACCACCATTTATTGACCAGACTATCTTTTCTCCATTGTGTATTCTTGGCACCCTCATAAAAGATCAATTAACTGTATAAACAAGGATTCATTTTTGGAATTTATCCTGATCCATTGGTCTACCTGTCTGTTCTTATGCCAGTGGCATCTTGTTTTGATTACTATATCTCTGTAGTATAATTTGAAATCAGGAAGTGTGATGTCTCGGCTTTGTTGTTCTTGCTCAAGATAGTGTATCCATAACAAGTTATTGTAGCTACAGTAATTTTTAATTTTTTTCCCTTTATCTTTTTTCCTAAAATCACTGATACACCACCATTACAGTATTAGAATATTCTGAATTTGAATATACTTATATTAACCAGTGAATTTTATACTTTCATGTTTTCATGTTGTTAATGTCAACATCAGGATGACATCAGGTGCTAAAATTATCTCACAAGAATTGTAAAGCAGCCATAATAAAAATGCTTCAACAACAATTAATTACATACTTGAAACCAGCACCAGCCCAAGATCTACGAGGAGAAAGAAAACACAGGGAATGCACCACTGTGTTGTTACTCAGGCCATGAAGTCTCTAGTTGGTCTGCCTCCTCCTCTCCACCTTCCAGAGCCTTCCTACGTTTGTATAATGTCTAGGTATTAGTGTGATGGACAAAGGAAAACCAAACAAGCCCAGGACAAAAAATAA